TGCCCACCAATGCGGGTGCTGAGCATGAGCGTGTGGCTCATGGTGCACAGACACCTGCAGTGTGTCACCAGCACAGTGCCTGGCTGTGACAGACACCGAGGGCATCAAAGTGCTTCTCACCAGAGCCCACCTAATGCCCAAACTTGCTTGGCTGTCGGGCTGGAGGTGACCACCACAGTACAGGCAGCAGCAGTGACCACAGCAAACGGGTCCAGCTGATGCTACACATCCACAGAAGTTTTCTTCCAGAGATTTCCTAAATTTTCTCCTTCCCAAAGTGTTACTCTTTCTTTTGCTCTGGGGACTGAGGGTGTGGCACAAATGTTGAGCCAAAGTCTGATCAGTATGGCAGGATCATGTATTGACCCTGCAGTGCCACAGCTGGAGGTGAGCAGAGACGTGGAGCAGTTTGGAGCTGAGAGAGCAGTGAATCATCACTCTTGCTGCCACCAGAGCTCCAGACATCGGTTACACCAGGGCATGTCCCACACCAGGCTCGTAGCACACGCCCTTTGGAAGCATTACAGCTAGTGCAAGTCCCTTGAGTGGATGCACTGTGCCAGAAGACAGTGGCTTTGTCCTGATTTAACCCATCCTGCTAATTTATGGGAGCAAAATCACTCAGATGTGATCCTTCCTTTGTTCTGTAGCTAAGCATTCACTCAACAGGGGTTACCCAGCTTCTGGAGCCTGTTGAGTTGCTTTGAACACAAGCTGCAGGGCTGTGCTGGGATGCAGGCTGCTCAGGGGAGGCTGTGTCTAGACTGGAGGAGTTCTCTGAGCACTGGCTGTGCCTTTGCTTTGAGGTAACTCATATCTCTAATCTGCCTTGGAACAAAGTTTCTCAGTCCCTTTAGTCCCCCCCACAACGCTGGCAGGAGAAAAGGAGGATCTGTTTAGCTTCCACCAAGCCAAGATGAACAATAGGCCAAGCAGGTGCAGGCCTTTGTTTGAGCCACCCTAACAACGTGCTCCAAGGCCAGCAACCAGAGGGAAAGCTGTGCACACACAGGGAAACCTATGCTGGGAAGTGAGAGGCTGGTCCTGGCATCAGGAGTCACTGAGTTCTGGTATTTGGCATTCAGGAAGCTTTTGAAGTATCTCCCTGATCCTACTGAAAATGTCTTATTAAAAGAGACAAAGCATATTAATTTGGGCCCCATGCTGTGCTAATGAGTTTCACAGCTTCCAAACCAGAGCTGTGGCTTAAGGTCTTGGCAGAGTCATCACCCATCCCTGTCTGTGGGCACGTGCCCCCAGGCACAGGCAGAGACACCTCCAGGAACAAGATCCTGAAGTGCTCTGAGTCTGCTCTCACCTGTCCCCCCACCAGACAGCTTTTCATCTGCTGAATTGGGCATAGCTGGGAAACAAGGCCCTCCCCATGTTCACCACTGACAGGAAAGCACCGAGCTCCTTGCCCTGCTCAGCACCAAGCTCCTTGCCCTGCTCAGCACCAAGCTCCTTGCCCTGCTCAGCACCAAGCTCTCTCCCCACGCACAGCCATGTCCTGGGTGCTTCCTGGGATGAGGCAGGATCAGCCTGTGCCAGGGAGGAACCCCCCACATGGCATGGGCTGTGTGAGCACCCCCACATCCAGGCAGAATAGCTGCCTGCCTCGGGCTGAAAACAGACCAAGAGAAGCATTGGAGGAACACAGAGCTGGAGTGGATGATTGCCTGAGGCCAGAGACAGCTCCAGCTGAGCGTCATCCCCCAGCTCTGGGAGCCTAAGCACAGGAGGAGCGAGGGGAGGGATCCCAGCCTTTCCAGCAAGGCCTTCAAATGTCTCACTGGAGCACAGAGCCCAGCGAAAAACTTCCTTTGAATGGGTCCCAAGTGAGAGATGTCATGGTTACACTGCTGTGCCTGGCCATGGACACAGGGAGCACTGACACGGGGGTCCAGCAGAGTCCAGGGAAGGTGTAGCTCATCTCTCTCCCAGTAAGGCTTGGCAGCACTACAACTCATTTTCTGCTTGTTTCAGGGCAGGGTTTTTTGCTGCTGGAAGCTGCTTCTGAGCTGGCACTTCTCCCCCATGTGCCTGAAGTGGGACAGGGCGAGCAGAGAACCAGCTCCCTGGCCCTCTGGTTCCCATTAGCTGGCACTGGAGTTCAGTTTTCCCAGCTCCACAGCTCCTGTGTTTCCCACGCTGGTTCTCCATGCCCCTATGTGTTCACCTCAGCGTTGAGGATGTGGATATTCACAGCAGAGGTGATCCTGCTGAACTCTCCAGCTTCAATCTGGGAAGAAAAGTACTTTTACTGCTTGGATATGGCACTTTGAACAAGAATTCCTTCCCCTGCAGCTCATGACACAGGTGGGACTCTGTCCCTCCATGCTGAGAAGGAAAATTAGCCCTCAGCACACAAGGAGAGATACAGGTCAGATTCTTCAGCCTGGAAGAAAGTGCTTTTATAGCCAGATAATTCAGCTAGAGAGAGAAATGTTAATGGGAGGAATCATTTGCACTCTCTTCAAGCAAGAGTAGGGAGTTTTCCATTGGAGACAAATTTTCTCTTAGCTCCTGGCTTGTTGAACTGGGGTGCTCTGGGCTGTCTATCCATCCAAACCACATCCATACATCACATCCAGGGTAGACATGAAGCAGTTAGAGCGAGTCCAGAGGAAGACATCAAGATGATTAGAGGCATGGAGCAGCTCTGCTGGGAGGAAAGGCTGAGAGAATTGGGATTGTTCAGCCTGCAGAAGAGAAGGCTCCAGTATGACCTAATTGTGGCCTTCCAGTGCCTGAAGGAGCTGACAGGAAAGATGGAGAGAGACTATTGACAAGGGATGGAGTGACAAGATGGGGGGAATGGCTTCAAACTGATAGAGAGTAGGTTTAGTTTGGATATTGGGAAGAAGTCTTTGCCTGTGAGGGTGGGGAGGCCCTGGCACAGGTTGCCCAGAGAAGCTGTGGTTGCCTCTGGATCCCTGGAAGTGTCCAAGGCCAGGTTGGATGGGGCTTGGAGCAACCTGGGCTAGTGGAAGGTGTCCCTGCCCATGGCAGGGGGTGGGATTGGATGAGCTTTAAGGTCCCTTCCAACCCATTCTGTGCTTCTCTGACTCTGATTCTATGATTCAATGACCTCCTCTGACTCCTCAGAAGGGTCTCTGGCATTTCCACTTCCCCACTGCCATCACAAGATGGCATTCCAGGCCTAAAAGCTGAGCCTGCTCAGCTGATGCTTGGAGGTCTTTTCCAGACCCCGAGGTGTCCAACGCCAGGGGAAGCTGTGGATTTAACCCTGCCTGCTGAGCTC